GGCCAGGACATCCAACTTCTTTTCATTCATAACATCAGCAATCATCTGTTTCTTGTCATCCGCACTACATCCACGCACATTCAAGCATCCCAGTTTTATAAAGTTTTTCTTCTTCTCTTTTTTAGTAAATGTCTACAGGAGAAGGGGTTACTAGCCCATTGCTCCCGGCATTTTAGTCGCCTCATACGACACGCATGGCTTACGGAGGAAAGATTCTTTTCCACTTCCCCATATTAAACTTTTATCCAAATATTTTTGTACGCTGAATAAGGTAAATCAGTTAAAAAAAAATGTGCGCAGGGTGACAGAAACTCAGGGGGTTAATTGATCTGTATATTTGGACCCCCTTCTGGGGTCCTCTTCAGCAAAGAAGGATCGAAATATGCAGATCAATCAGTCTCTTGAGTTTCTGTCTCCATGTGGGCTATTACTGAGCATAGTGATGATGGTTACTTAGAAACTGGAAATGAGCTTGTGGACACCTTGATGAATATTAATTGTCATTTTTAATCACAGCAGAGATCTTGGAACTTTATTAATATTAATGATGTGGATGCATTTTTACTTGTCATGTGAGCTATTTTCCATTTAAAAATGTGTAGGCAAAGTAAAAATAAATTTATAAGTTAATTTTCAGTTACATATTTTTATTGAATGAGGTACAATATTCCTTTAGTATAATTTTCTAGTTATCAGTTATACTCAATTATAAATCAGGTTGGCTGACAGTATTGATAGACAGTTTTACATCTTGTAGCTGTGAATACTGATAAACAGCTGGAGAAGATGCACAACCAGCAATCTGTCTGTCTCATTTAATGTTTTGCTGTGTATGAGAACTCAAGAGTGTAAGAATGATAATCTTGTTCAATAAACAGTGACCAGCATACAGTGGTGCAGACATGGGGCTGGTGGGACTGGTTCGTGAAACTCATGAGTGAGAAAGAACATTCTCATTACTTAGTCCTCAACACTGACACAGTGGAAGACCAACCACAGTGATGAACAGTACAGCTTTACCTCCACTACTTTCTCTGCGATGCTTATATTCTATTTTTAAAGACAAACGGTTAACCTTTTAGCTTTCACTACTTATCATAAAAGAGTTTATGATAATTTTGAATTGAGTGGATGTAACTGCTGTTTGACGAACTTGTTCAGTTTATATTTACTAAAACACGTAAAACATATAATCAAGAGTTTTGTAAGAGAAATATTTTTTTCCGCTTGGGACGTGGTCTCCTAAATTTTGATGCAGATTGTGTTTTATAATAAAGTCCTCTTGGCACTGTAAAATATCATTCTTAATTGTTTTGTCCTGACAAAGTTGTGCTGTTAAGTTTCTAAACATAAGACAACTGACTTCATTGTACAAATAAACATAAATAGTTGTAGAAATTCAAGTTATTTTTCTCGGGTTCACACATTTCTACTTGTACCACCATAACATTGTACTTGTACCACCATCATACCACACTAACATTGTACTTGTACCACCATTGTACCACACTAACATTGTACTTGTACCACCATCATACCACACTAACATTATACTTGTACCACACTAACATTGTACTTGTACCACCATTGTACCACACTAACATTGTACCACCATTGTACCACACTAACATTGTACTTGTACTACCATCGTACCACACTAACTTTGTACTTGTACCATCATCTTACCATGGTAATGTTTCTCTTTAATTTTGGTATTTCATGAACAGAGATATATAGGTTGCAGTATATATTATTAAATCTGATTCAGAATTTAAAAAAAGAAATGACATCATGCTTGCTGTATGCTTATATCTTTCTTGTCAATTTTTTCTTGCACACATTGAACCTACCTCTAGCATTTGACACTCATGGCTATAGTCTCTAAACTGTAATTTACATTCTGTAAAGGTGCTCCAATGAGACTCTCTGTCGGTCATTTTGGTCACATTTTGTTTCTTCATAGTTTGGTGGTAGAGGCCTCAAGAAAAATACTCTGAACATTAGTCACTATATTTTATTTTCAATATCCCACCAAGGCAAGGTGACTCAGAAAAAGAAGAAAAAAAGTTTTTCTTCTTTTTACATTTAGTAATTTATACAGGAGAAGGAGGTACTTGCCCCTTGCTCCCAGTATGTATTGTATTAGGTGCTAAGCATATGATGCAGGTTTCTAACATATTAAAGAATGAAGGAGATTAAAAATGCGGAAAATATTGCTGTTGTTCATATATAATAAAGCATAATTGGCAACCCTGCCATTGTGAGCCACAAGCTAGGTTAGGCTGGAAGAGTCTCTCTCTCTTACATTTTAATTATTGTTGAGGGTTAAGGAGAGATCAGTGGCATGTTTATTGTGTACTCTGGTACGGTTGTCTTGAGATTGCTCAGTCTGATACAGTTGTCTCGAGATGCTCAGTCTGATGTAGATGTCTTGAGACTGCTCAGTCTGATACAGTTGTCTTGAGACTGCTCAGTCTGATACAGTTGTCTTGAGACTGCTCAGTCTGATACAGTTGTCTTGAGACTGCTCAGTCTGATACAGTTGTCCTGAGACTGCTCAGTCTGATACAGTTGTCTTGAGACTGCTCAGTCTGATACAGTTGTCTTGAGACTGCTCAGTCTGATACAGTTGTCTTGAGACTGCTCAGTCTGATACAGTTGTCTTGAGACTGCTCAGTCTGATACAGTTGTCTTGAGACTGCTCAGTCTGATACAGTTGTCTTGAGACTGCTCAGTCTGATACAGTTGTCTTGAGACTGCTCAGTCTGATACATCAAGGTCCCAGGAATAATGAAAGTTTCTTAGTTACAATTATTTAAAAGCAGAAGATATGAAAGTGTAATTACATGTAGTATTACTGTAAGATTTAAGCCGGGAAGCAGGTTCTGCCCTGGAAGTTGATAGATTATATTAACTTATATTGCTTCTATAACCAAATTAGTGATGGTTTTCTTTTTTGAGATACTAAACAAAATTCAGGTTTCTATAAAAAAAAAAGTTTCTTTTGGTTGGGTATACCATAATTTATATTAAGAAGCAATATTGTGGAAAACTTTAAAATAAATTTGTAAGACTTATGGTGCCGGAAACAATATGCAGTGCATCATTACATAAGCCATATTATATGAAAATATTTTGTAAGCATTTGTTATTTTATAAAGTATAAACGCTTATAGCCAAGTATTTTACTTGAAATATGTGTACCAGTGATGTATATGTAATTTTATATATTTTTTGTATTGTATTCATTAACCCATCTCTTACTATCAGACAGGTTGCTTCTTATGCAGTCTCCTTCATATAATTACTGGAATCTCTGCCTTTTGTGTTTTTTTTAATCTATATGTTTGTTTTTAGTGTAACATCTGCTAGTTTCTTGTGTCTCACATCAGTCAGTGCCTTGGTGCACTAAATAATGTCTGCCTAAGAGTGTTTGTCTGGATGCTTTGTTCTTACGTGATACTCCTGAAGAATTCACTGTTGCATTTTTCCCGCATTATTCTTTAAAATTACTAACACAAAAAATTTTGTGTTAGAAATACAAAATACAAAAGCAACTGGTTTTTGTGTAATCAGAAAGACAGTTTCTTGTTTTATATTTCTAGGGTAATTATTATACTTGATCATTACAGTAAGTCCTCACTTAACATCATCGATAGGTTCTTGGAAACTACAATTTTAAGTGAAATGACATATAACGAAACCAATTTTACCTTGGGCTAATTGATATAAACATCAGGATTGCAGAGTGCACCTTTAGCACTCATTGCAACATGGTTAAATCAAAGAATAAGTGTTTGCAAAGTGAAAATTGTAAGGAGCACCTCCTACCACCACACAGTTCAAGACTGAACATGCAAGCTCCACACAGACAGTGGCCCTGGCTGGGATTCGATTTCCTTCTTCATCAACATTATGACAAAACTACGTTGAAGGAAATGAGGTTTAAGTGAGGACTTACTGTACATTATATGAGTGTGTTGTTTATGATTCACTTTCTTTGTATTGTAGATGTAAATTTTGATCATCTTCAGTATTCATTCAGTTACTGTATTAAAATCTTTGAATGCTGGTGAAGTGTCTCAGTGGTAGAACATTTATCTCCAGATTGAGAGGACCTGAATTTGAATCCTGGATGAAGCAAGATGTATGGGTAAGCCTTACACCTGCTGCACCTATTCAGCAGTAAATGTATACTTTGCCTAGGATTTAGTGAGCTGTTCTGCCACATCCTTGGAAGGAGAGGGCTTAAGAACTTCAGTGGAATATTGCAGGTGTCATTGTCTTTCTTAAAGTTATCCTAGATTATTACCTTTCCAGGGTTAGTGCTGTAATTTAAAGCAAGTTACCGTCTTCTCTCTTCTGCCACGACATACAGTTGCTCAAAATGACATGCATTTCACACTCAACTTGAGTTAATATATTGTTATTAGTATAGCATACTTTTGTTATGGTTGTAAGGTTACAAATGGTCTAAATATGGCTTTAATAACATTATATATTGTACAGTATGAATGTCTATATATTCCTGAATATTTATATTTTATAAGGATGTTGTCCACAAGACTTAAAAAGAGTTAATGATGGCCCAGTGTCATGTGTTAGCTACACATTGTCTCTCTTAACAACTGATGCAGGCCACTCTGCCTTCTATGGTTTATTATAATTAAAATTATTTTTAAGTCATATTTATGTATATGTAATTAAATATGCAATGGGTAATTGATAAAAAGTGCACAAGAAAGTTTGCATTTACACAAAAAATAAATAAGAGAGGCAAAGTATGTAATTGAGAGAGGAAAGCATGTAATAAAGTATGTAATAGTCACTCATTACATGGGGAACTTTGTATGCATTACAGTAAACTGACCTAACTATTATTTGGCAAACTGATTATGTGCAGGCAAAGAGCAAGTACTTTGCTTGAGTCTTGGCCAAGATAACGTCTAATTTTGTACTTTTTTATTGTTTTATAATAGTGGTGTTCTGTCTTGAAACAGAAATACAAAGAGCTGGAGGAAAAATAATGTGTGATCAGTGTGGTAAGAGGCTGGTCCTGTCACCCTGCATATATCCAAGACTTGTGTGTGGCAGCAGTCTGGGAATGTCACCGTGCACAACACTAAAGAGACTTGTTTCTTTGTTGATCATTATTAAATCCTTGTGTGCTTGTGTTAAGTGGTATCTCTTGGCCAAGTGAAAATTCCATAGATCTACCTTTCTCATTTAACATTTCTCTGTACTGTACCCATCTCTGCATACAGTTTGTTGACTTATCAAATATGTTGGGCCATGAGCCTGTAGTTGGTGCAGTACCATTCCTCTGAAGGTGGTGCAGTACCATTCCTCTGAAGGTGGTGCAGTACCATTCCTCTGAAGGTGGTGCAGTACCATTCCTCTGAAGGTGGTGCAGTACCATTCCTCTGAAGGTGGTGCAGTACCATTCCTCTGAAGGTGGTGCAGTACCATTCCTCTGAAGGTGGTGCAGTGCCATTCCTCTGAAGGTGGTGCAGTACCATTCCTCTGAAGGTGGTGCAGTGCCATTCCTCTGAAGGTGGTGCAGTGCCATTCCTCTGAAGGTGGTGCAGTACCATTCCTCTGAAGGTGGTGCAGTACCATTCCTCTGAAGGTGGTGCAGTACCATTCCTCTGAAGGTGGTGCAGTACCACTCCTCTGAAGGTGGTGCAGTACCATTCCTCTGAAGGTGGTGCAGTACCATTCCTCTGAAGGTGGTGCAGTACCATTCCTCTGAAGGTGGTGCAGTACCATTCCTCTGAAGGTGGTGCAGTGCCATTCCTGTGAAGGTGGTGCAGTACCATTCCTCTGAAGGTGGTGCAGTACCATTCCTCTGAAGGTGGTGCAGTGCCATTCCTGTGAAGGTGGTGCAGTACCATTCCTCTGAAGGTTTTGAAGTACTATTCCTCTGAAGGTGAAGTACCATTCCTTTGAAGGTGGTGAAATACCATTCCTCTGAAGGTGGTGCAGTACCATTCCTCTGAAGGTGGTGCAGTACCATTCCTCTGAAGGTGGTGCTGTACTATTCCTCTGAAGGTGGTGCAGTACCATTCCTCTGAAGATGGTGCAGTACCATTCCTCTGAAGGTGCAGTACTATTCCTCTGAAGGTGGTGCAGTACCATTCCTTTGAAGGTGGTGGAGTACCATCATTTGCTTGTGAATATTATTCCTTCTAGGAGGTGTTTTGATGCTGATGGGCTCTTGATCATAGGAATTGGAGCTACCTTACCCTTCCTAAGATTAAACCCAATTACCTCCCATTCACCAGGTACTGTATGACTCTTATGGGTTTAGAGCTTCCTCAAGATTATAATAATTGTGACCGTTATAATTGTATAAGATGGGTGAAAGTGTTATAATTATATAAGATGGCTGAGAGTGTTATATAAGATGGCTGAGAGTGTTATACAAGATGGCTGAGAGTGTTATACAAGATGGCTGAGAGTGTTATATAAGATGGCTGAGAGTGTTATATAAGATGGCTGAGAGTGTTATATAAGATGGTTGAGAGTGTTATATAAGATGGTTGAGAGTGTTATATAAGATGGCTGAGAGTGTTATATAAGATGGCTGAGAGTGTTATACAAGATGGCTGAGAGTGTTATACAAGATGGCTGAGAGTGTTATATAAGATGGCTGAGAGTGTTATACAAGATGGCTGAGAGTGTTATATAAGATGGTTGAGAGTGTTATACAGGATGGCTGAGAGTGTTATACAAGATGGCTGAGAGTGTTATACAAGATGGCTGAGAGTGTTATACAAGATGGCTGAGAGTGTTATATAAGATGGCTGAGAGTGTTATACAAGATGGCTGAGAGTGTTATACAGGATGGCTGAGAGTGTTATACAAGATGGCTGAGAGTGTTATACAAGATGGCTGAGAGTGTTATATAAGATGGTTGAGAGTGTTATATAAGATGGCTGAGAGTGTTATACAAGATGGTTGAGAGTGTTATATAAGATGGCTGAGAGTGTTATATAAGATGGCTGAGAGTGTTATATAAGATGGTTGAGAGTGTTATACAAGATGGTTGAGAGTGTTATACAAGATGGCTGAGAGTGTTATATAAGATGGTTGAGAGTGTTATATAAGATGGTTGAGAGTGTTATATAAGATGGCTGAGAGTGTTATACAAGATGGTTGAGAGTGTTATATAAGATGGCTGAGAGTGTTATATAAGATGGCTGAGAGTGTTATATAAGATGGTTGAGAGTGTTATACAAGATGGTTGAGAGTGTTATACAAGATGGCTGAGAGTGTTATATAAGATGGTTGAGAGTGTTATACAAGATGGTTGAGAGTGTTATACAAGATGGCTGAGAGTGTTATATAAGATGGTTGAGAGTGTTATACAAGATGGCTGAGAGTGTTATATAAGATGGCTGAGAGTGTTATATAAGATGGTTGAGAGTGTTATATAAGATGGCTGAGAGTGTTATACAAGATGGCTGAGAGTGTTATACAAGATGGTTGAGAGTGTTATATAAGATGGCTGAGAGTGTTATATAAGATGGCTGAGAGTGTTATATAAGATGGTTGAGAGTGTTATACAAGATGGTTGAGAGTGTTATACAAGATGGCTGAGAGTGTTATACAAGATGGTTGAGAGTGTTATATAAGATGGTTGAGAGTGTTATACAAGATGGTTGAGAGTGTTATACAAGATGGCTGAGAGTGTTATACAAGATGGTTGAGAGTGTTATATAAGATGGCTAGAGAGTGTTATATAAGATGGCTGAGAGTGTTATATAAGATGGTTGAGAGTGTTATACAAGATGGTTGAGAGTGTTATACAAGATGGTTGAGAGTGTTATACAAGATGGTTGAGAGTGTTTTTACAAAATGGCTGAGAGTGTTATACAAGATGGCTGAGAGTGTTATACAAGATGGCTGAGAGTGTTATACAAGATGGCTGAGAGTGTTATACAAGATGGCTGAGAGTGTTATATAAGGTAGCTGAGAATGTTATAATTATATAAGATGGGTGAAAGGAATGACCACAGAATTATTCTTTCAAAATAAATTTTTAGTAAAAGGTTTTTCTTAATTGCCTTTGTCTTCAGAAGAACTAAAACCAGTGTTGAAGTTGTTGCAATAAAGTGCATAAATAACATCTCTATTATATACTTTTTATACAAAGAGAAACTGGTTTTGAAGAAAAACTTTTATTAGTTTCTGTACAAAAGTATGCTGTACGACCCTGCGGGTTTAGCACATGGTTTTGATTATACAGTGGACCCCCGCATAACGATCACCTCCGAATGCGACCAATTATGTAAGTGTATTTATGTAAGTGCGTTTGTACGTGTATGTTTGGGGGAATGGAATGGACTAATCTACTTCACAATATTCCTTATGGGAACAAATTCGGTCAGTACTGGCACCTGAACATACTTCTGGAGTGAAAAAATATCGTTAACCGGGGGTCCACTGTACTATTAAATAATTTACAAAAATAGAGTTGGGCACAAAAAGTTGAATAATTAGTAACAAAAGTGTGAGTTTCTTTTACTTATGTTCTCACAGGGAGGTGACCTCATGCTGGTCAAGGGTTCTTCATCACAGGAACTGGAACTACCCTTAAGATAAGATAAGATAAGATTTCGTTCGGATTTTTAACCCCGGAGGGTTAGCCACCCAGGATAACCCAAGAAAGTCAGTGCGTCATCGAGGACTGTCTAACTTATTTCCATTGGGGTCCTTAATCTTGTCCCCCAGGATGCGACCCACACCAGTCGACTAACACCCAGGTACCTATTTGCTGCTAAGTGAACAGGACAACAGGTGTAAGGAAACGTGTCGAAATGTTTCCACCCGCCGGGAATCGAACCCGGGCCCTCCGTGTGTGAAGCGGGAGCTTTAGCCACCAGGCCACCGGGCACCTTTCCCATTCCTTGGAACAAATCTTATTCTGCAAGTGCTGTGTGACCCCTGTAGGTTTATAGCTTCACTCAACATTGCAGTGCTGCATGACCCATGTGGGTTTAGTGCTTAGTTTTGATTGGAATAATAATATATAACCAAAAACAATGGATGTCGAAGGCGAGTTAATGAAAATGTTGTCATTCCTTGACTACCACAACCTTACCATGCCAGGACGACCCTCGGTACAGGTGAGGGGCTCTTGATCCCAGTATTCAGGTGCTATATGACCTTTGTGGGTTTAGCACTTCCCCATGAAGCTAATATAAAAGACTTTCCATCAAACCACAACTGAGCTCCTGGCCATCATTCTTCCATCAATGTCAAGTGTGGGGAATGTCCATCATTCTGCAGTGTCAGGTGTGGGGAATGTCCATCATTCTGCAGTGTCAGGTGTGGGGAATGTCCATCATTCTGCAGTGTCAGGTGTGGGGAATGTCCATCATTCTGCAGTGTCAGGTGTGGGGAATGTCCATCCTTCCATCAGTGTCAGGTGTGGGGAATGTCCATCCTTCCATCAGTGTCAGGTGTGGGGAATGTCCATCCTTCCATCAGTGTCAGGTGTGGGGAATGTCCATCCTTCCATCAGTGTCAGGTGTGGGGAATGTCCATCCTTCATCAATGTCAGGTGTGGGAATGTCCATCCTTGCATCAGTGTCAGGTGTGGGGAATGTCCATCCTTGCATCAGTGTCAGGTGTGGGGAATGTCCATCCTTGCATCAGTGTCAGGTGTGGGGAATGTCCATCCTTCCATCAATGTCAGGTGTGGGGAATGTCCATCCTTCCATCAATGTCAGGTGTGGGGAATGTCCATCCTTCCATCAATGTCAGGTGTGGGGAATGTCCATCCTTCCATCAGTGTCAGGTGTGGGGAATGTCCATCCTTCCATCAGTGTCAGGTGTGGGGAATGTCCATCCTTCCATCAATGTCAGGTGTGGGGAATGTCCATCCTTCCATCAGTGTCAGGTGTGGGGAATGTCCATCCTTCCATCAATGTCAGGTGTGGGGAATGTCCATCCTTCCATCAATGTCAGGTGTGGGGAATGTCCATCCTTCCATCAATGTCAGGTGTGGGGAATGTCCATCCTTCCATCAATGTCAGGTGTGGGGAATGTCCATCCTTCCATCAGTGTCAGGTGTGGGGAATGTCCATCCTTCCATCAGTGTCAGGTGTGGGGAATGTCCATCCTTCCATCAGTGTCAGGTGTGGGGAATGTCCATCCTTCCATCAAGTGTCAGGTGTGGGGAATGTCCATCCTTCCATCATGTCAGGTGTGGGGAATGTCCATCCTTCCATCAGTGTCAGGTGTGGGGAATGTCCATCTTTCCATCAGTGTCAGGTGTGGGGAATGTCCATCCTTCCATCAATGTCAGGTGTGGGGAATGTCCATCCTTCCATCAGTGTCAGGTGTGGGGAATGTCCATCTTTCCATCAGTGTCAGGTGTGGGGAATGTCCATCCTTGCATCAGTGTCAGGTGTG